GCCCAACTATAGTTTCATTTCGATATAACTACAGTTTCATTCGATATTATACACTCAAATATGTGAAACTGTTATTCAGATTCATTTTATGAGTTAATACCTCCAATGGTCTTCCAACTATTATGTGTTTACCAGCTGTGGTCATCTTTGTTTTAAATGACGTCAAATGGTCCTCCATGTTTTAATAAATAACCACCCGTGGCCCTTTTAAGACGTCTCGTTGTCATTTTAAAATAACCATCCATGGTCCTTTTAGGACCATGAGTGATTATTTTTTAAAACATGGAGAACCATTGGAGGTCATTTAAAACTCGGATGACCACAGTTGGTAAATCCCTAATACTCGGAGGACCATTGGAGGTATTAACTCTTCATTTTATATATACATTATAGTTTCATTACAACACAACTACATTATCATTTTCATATAACCACAGTTTCATTGTATAATATACACTCAAATATGTGAAATGTTATTCAGTTTCATTTTATATACACTGCAGTTTCATTTCAACACAACTACAGTATCATTTTGATATAACTACAGTTTCGCTGGACAATATACACTCAAATATGTGAAATTGTTATTTAGTTTCATTTTTTATACACTGCAGTTTAATTTCAACACAACTACAATTTCATTTCAATTTAATTGCAGTTTTATTGGATAATATAAAAATAATGCATGAGGCGGTGTCAATTTAAATAGACTGTAGTTTCATTTGGTAATTAATATACAAAAAATACACGCTCTGCTAAGTTGTAACGTCTGTCGTTTCTTTACTTAAAGAAACGGCGTCGTTTTTGGACCTGGTCCATAAAGTTTTTTTGACCGCGATCCACAGTATAATTGCTGAAACTGAGCAATCATTATTGCATGGACCATGGTCCACACAATAATTTGCCAGGCTGTAGCATAGGCCCACACGGCCACACGGAGTTGACGAACAACTATGAAACGCACATTATGCTGTGAATGGTGCACACGGTTGCAAAAACGACGTCGTTTTGACTAAAAACGCGCGTCCCACTAAAAAAAAAAAAATTAGGTTCGATTCCCGGCAATAGTATTTTTTTTGTGCATAATTTGAATTATATATCCACAAATTCATAACTATATATCCACAAATTTATAACTATATATCCACAGTGAATGAATAACACAAAATTCAGAATGAATAAACTAAATATTCACAATGAATGAACTAAATATCCACAATCTATGAACTAAATATTCACAATGAATGAACTAAATATCCACAATCAATGAACTAAATATCCACAATGAATGAACTAAATATCCATAATGAATGAACAACATAATGTTGTTGAGGGGAATCGAAAATGATTTTTTTTTTTTAAATGAGACGCACGTTTTTAGTCAAAACGACGTCGTTTTGCAACCGTGTGCACCATGCACAATATAACTATTGACTATGAAAGGCTTTAAATATTGGGTGTGTAGTGAACTAGTGATTGCTCATTTGCTCTCATAATTTCTAAGGTTTGTCAAGACTGCTTAATATATCATTTTAATAATTACTACTATTATCACCCCTGCGTTGTATAGAATTAATTTGTTATAATATTTTAAGAGTATTTGTATCAATATACAATTATATAAATTATAACAAGGAATATTATATAGTGCAATTGATGAAATGAGTTGGATCGATTATATTTTATGATGTTATCCTTATTTGAATTTGAGCAAATAATTGCTCAATTTCCGGTGCGATACACAGATAAAAATTTTATTATATATTTAGATAATAAAATTAAAGATAAAATTATAAACAATTGTAATATTTGAAAGTGTACATATATTTGATTATACGATTAGTTCAAAACTATCACTCAATTAATTGAATAATATATGACTAGATTGTCTGCAATTATCTTTAAAAAATCAATATATAATACGATTTATATAATTATATAATTATATTATTATTAAAATAAATATGGGAAAAAGGACATAATGTCATTACTACTTTATACATTTTTGTGTAGGATTTTGAATCTACACATTTTTATCCAAATCATGTCAAATTCATACATTTTTTGCGATGTTTCTCAATTTTTACATCATGTACAAGAATTTTTAACAATATGAAAGTTAGAACTTGTGTTCATCAACGTGGTCAACATGATTAATGACCCTCTTTTTGACGCTAAAGGGGTGGAACCCTGAACAATGTTGATTTTGAGTTCAAAGCTTGGATTAAGAAGAACTGGATCGTCAGATGCTGCCACATTTTGCGGGAACAAAACCAAGTTGCGGATTGATTTGAGAAGAACTATTCTCCGAGCCACGAGTTGGCCTTGTTGTTTTTTTGCCCTAATGCCAGACTCGAGGATCGAGTATGTCCACAAAGATAGTTTAGGTGTTCCTTTTGTCCGTGGTGACTAAGTGTTTTGTTCACCGGGGTTCCACCCTTCCTTTGTATTTAAAAAAAAAAAAATCTAAGGTTTGTCAAGATTGCTCATTATATCATTTTAATGATTATTTGATAAATATAAACTAATAATTTTAAGAATTTGCAATAATTTGTTAAAAAAAAATAGAAAAATATATTAATATATATATGTGTATTATTTAAAATATCTTAATAGGAGCTTTCTATCGATATATTTTTTATACATTAATTTTATTTGTACAAAAAAACAATAAATTTAAGATGAAAAAATTAGAAAACAATAGGGATGACTTGCTAAGTTTAGTATTAATATATAAAATTTATATATTTAGAAACTACATTAAAATTACTATTATACATAAAAATTCAAATTTAAAAAAAAAAGTGCTAAAGAATATATATATATATACATATATATATATATATATATATATATATATATATATATATATATATATATATATATATATATATATATATATGGAAGGGTTCAGGTGCGGGTATAACTATCCGTGCAGTTGACGCACCTTAAGCATTAAAATGACACACCTTAAGTACACAAACCACACACCTTAAGCACACAAACAAAGCACCTTAAGAACACAAACCACGCATCTTAAGTACACAAACCACGCACCTTAAGCACACAAACAAAGCACTTTAAGAACACAAGTCACGCACCTTAAGTACACAAACCACGCAATTTAAGCACACAACAAAGCACCTTGAGAACACAAACCGCACACCTTAAGTACACAAACCACGCACCTTAAGCACACAACAAAGCGTGCACCTTAAGAACACAAACCACGCACTTAAGGTTTTAAAATGGCTCACCTTAAGTTTCACACAACTAACGCACTTTAAGCATACAAATCACGCACCTTAAGAAGGAAAAACCACGCGCTTTGAGTTTCAACAACTACTCACATTAAGCACAAAACCCACGCATCTTAAACACAAAACTCACGCACCTTAAACACAAAAAATCACGCAACTTAAGAAGGAAAATCACGTACCTTAAGTTTCACAACTACTCACATTAAGCACACAACTCACTCACCCTAAGCACAAAACTCACGCACCTTAAGCACAAAATCATGCATCTTAAGAAGGAAAACAACGCATCTTAATTTGACATAGATGCAAAAATTATCAAATTGCCACCGCGTTTTTGTTTTTGTTTTTAGTTTTTTGTTTTTTTTTTCTTTTTTTTTTTAATTTTGGTAATCCTAGACGTTGATTTAAGCAAGATCAATGACTCAGATTTAATCGCACAACTGCACGGGGGACACTCAACCGCATGAGAACTAAATTATATATATATATATATATATATATATATATATATATATATATATATATATATATATATATATATATATGCGCGCGCGTGCAGGGTAATTAATAGACTGTAGTTTAGATAGACTGTTGTTTCATTTGGTAATTAATACACAAAAAATACACGTTCCGTTAAGTTGTAACGTCTACCATTTTTTTACTTAAAGAGACGACGTTATTTTTGGATCATGGTCCATAAAACTTTTTGAACCGCGGTCCATATTATAATTGCTGAGATTGAGCAATCATTATTGCGTGGACCATGTTTGCCACGCGGTAGCATGTACGCTGGAGCATAGGCCCACACGGAGTTGACGAACAACTATGAAAGTCTTTAAAGATTGGGTGTGTAGTGAACTAGTGATTGCTCATTTGCTCTCCTAATTTCTAAGGTTTGTCAAGATTGCTCATTATATCATTTTAATAATTATTTTATAAATATAAACTAATAATTTTAAGAATTTGCAATAATTTGTTTAAAAAAAAAATCTTAATATATATGTGCATTATTTAAAAGATCTTAATAGGAGCTTTTTTACGATATATTTTTTATACATTAATTTTATTTGTTTCAAAAAAAAATAATAAATTTAAGATGAAAATAATTAGAAAACAAAAGTAGGGATGACTTGCTAAGTTTAGTATTAATATATAAAATTCATGCGAAGTATCTTGTACTCAGATAACGTGTAGTGACTTCTTCTATGTGGGAGGTTATGAGATCAAGCCTCAGTGGAGGCGTTATTGACTCTTTGATGCACTCATGCACCTTAAGTACACAAATCATGCACCTTAAGCATACAAATCACGCATCGCACCTTACCCTAAGCACAAAACTCACGCACCAAAATAAATCTTTACCCTAAGCACAAAACTCACGCACCAAAATAAATTAGGTCGCATGGGAACTGAATTATATATATTAAAAATTAAATAAATAAAAAAACTTACGTCATTTCTTTATTTGTTTTTTAAAAAATTGACATAGGACGTTGTATTATTTATTTACTACATTGTTAAGAACTATATATTACGCATAATATATAACTGACGTTAAAAAGATTTTATTTTCTTTTATTTTTTATAATAGTGCAGCGTATCAATTACATATTTTTATACAAACCCCACAAAATTGTCTCCCTTCTCTACAGACAAAAGTCAAGGCCCCTATATAGCCCCTAATGCTTAATAAAGTTGACCTCAAAGTCTTCCCTTCGAAGGTGTATAAAGCAAATTTGGTGTGCGTTACTAAAGTTTAAAGTAAAAGCTAGAGTAGCTGTGAGGAAATTTCTCAAGTTTAAGCATCAATTTTATATTTTATTGTGAAGGCGATTGTAAGTGCTGTGATTGCTCTCATTTCCCAGCAGCCCTGTCAAGATTCGTTCTCTCAGGTATGACTTAATTTCAGCTGCATTTATATCTATAGTGTTCAAAGTAATGCTAGGCGCTCCCTAGACGTTCAATTTTTTATTTTTTATTTTTTTTAAAAAGAAAAAACCGGGATTCCGGTGCTTAGACCACCTAGGTGATCGCTTAGGCGACCAACCGCGAAAGTGGCTGAATTTGGCGTTCCTCGACGCGGCAGGGCGCCACCTAGGGTCTAGCGTGATTTTTGCAACACTGATTATATTTATTTATTGTCTCTTAGGCCGGTACAATTTGTGGAAAATGTCACTTGAGATAATATAGCTCTGATCTGTTTTCATAATTTAATTTGATCCCTCACAAGCTAGTGATGTTTGTGTAGAAGACTGCAACGTTGTTTTATTCAAGCCCTATGAGGAGGAATTTACGTCTTAAGCTTTACCGTTCTCACTCTCCTAAACCGCTAACTCGTGACCGTACTGATCTTGAAGGTGTAGCCGTTAATGGTAATATACTAATATTCAGTGTGTGATATACATGATCCTTTCTTTAGATACATGTGTTTGAGAAATCTATGATTTTTTTGTCCACCTTGAAATTAGAGGGATTTGTCCCAACAAATTACACAACATTTTCCAATGGAGAAAAAATAAATTAAATGCTTAGTTAACATGCATAGTAAATGTGCGATATCACAGTAGCAAACTATTGGATATTTATAGTAAATAGTTGAATTTATATATTCAGACATATTTACTTAAAGCGTAAATAATATTTTAGTGTTGTAGAGTTCAAGATATTATTTTATATTTGGCATGATTTTTATTACATGATAAAAAATATTGGTTATGTGGTTGTTTAATGAGAATATTTAGGGGGCGTTTGGTTCAAATATTTATAATTGTTATAAGTTTAAATGGAAAAAGCAAGTAACTTGTAGCTCAATGGCATCTTTGTAACTCTCTAAAATGAGAGGTCACAGATTTGAATCCTAGTGGAAGCATTGACTCTTTATGTTTCAGTAGTACTAAGAAAAGTGAGAGAAGCGAAGAATCCTTGTTAGGTAGTAAATAGGAATTGGAATAAAAATAAATAAATATATAATGCATATGTGTGTGTATATATATATATATATATATATATATATATATATATATATATTAAAAGTTCCATAGTGAAAACATGTACAATGATTTTTTTTTCTTTATTTTTATTCATATTTTTTATTCCATTATTTAAACGTAGGCTACGAATATGAAGGTAGTGAATAAGTAAAAATGGCGCTTAGTCAATCAGTCGGTTGGACTGAGTTAGTCGGTCTGCCGGGTGAACGACTGAGTGGACTAAGGCTATGATTGTATTACAGAGTAGGTGAGGGATGCCGAGTGACTCTTCGTGTGCCATGTAGCGTATTTACCCATCACTTGTGGTGTAAGCAAGTCTTTCCAATCCTAGTGGCGAAACAGACCAACCGGGTGGTTTTGGCCCGGGCAATCCCACGAGTAGTCCTAGTGCATATTTATCCATCACTAGTCCCCCACTTCTTGAATCCGCGAGGATTGACAATTTCAAGAAGTGTGAAATATTTTCCCTTTGTAGCAGTAGTCCTTCTCCTCCCCCCAACCACGTCGAATCTCTCTCATCCAGAACCTCCTCCCTAACGTTGTTGTCGTGCACGCTAATGGAACACTCCAACCACAACCATCTACTTTGATCCCCGTTGAATATTTCCTATCATGAGCAATTCACTACTCGCCAACCGGTCGGTCCTTCTGAATCTGTTCTTCTTGGGAAGACGGTTGATGGCTCAGGATTCAGCTGTTCTTCTTTTATTTCTTTTACTCCTCAATCACCTTGCTCTTCGTGTCATGTCAACCAGTGATGGGCGTTGACATCGACTTGGAAGAATTAGTGAAAGCCTCCGGGAAAACTGTAATGGGATCAAGACCACCAAGACTTTGAAAGTTGTAGGGAAAAATGCAAGCCACTCATTAATTATGTGGTGGTTTAACCTTGACCACAAATAATTATGTGGTGGTTTAACCTTTACCACAAATTAATGAGTGGTTAAGATTCTTTAAATAATATGAGGCCTAAATTACTTGGCCTCTATTATTTAAACAGGACCTGCCTTTGAGTTTAAACACACCCAGGAAAACATTTCCTTTCTCTCTTCTTTCTTTGTCTGCTAGTTAAAGTCTGAGCAATAGTGAGGTTCAGCTACGTTTAAGCTGGTGCGAGCTTAGCGTGGTTATTCTGTGTAGCCTGTCGAAAGCGTACCGGTTTGTCGACTGCACCGTCACCGGGCAAATAACGCTTTTAAGGTAGTGTTCTTATAACACGTCACATACCTCTTTTCAGCCATACATCCATTGTGTCCGTGTTTCTTAAAAGGTGCCCAGCTCGAGCGTTGACATTGCGAATATTATCCCAACAGTTAAGAGAGTTATTTATAGCAACAGTCAACTACTCGAATCATGAAGCAGATTATAATAATTTTGGCGACATGATGGTGTAGCAACAACAGAGATTAGCAGTGGAAGGATGTAACTTCATACAAAACAATACTGGTGAAGCACACTACTTCGGCTTATGTGTAACCTTTAAGCAAGGGAGTACAACAGAAATAATTATTGGATTCATATCGGAGCTTTGACCATACTCCGATGAGGTTTGTTTCCTCATATTTTAATATGACACATGCATATTTATATGATAATAGACTATCATATGCAAATGATTATTTTTGAGCACAAGTAATCATATATTATTGGGCATTGACCATATTTCCTTAAAGCTATTATAATGGCATAATTTAGAAGATGGTTTGCCTATATCTTTGCATCCATTTGATTATTATGTTTTGAAAGCATTTGAAACGTGAAATATATATTGTGGCAAACATTTTAGAAATCGCCATTTCATATTTTATATGGTGAGTGCTTTGAATATTATAGAGAAAATTAACAACAGTGTACACAAGGATAAATGAATTGTTATTATTCACATGGATGAGCTTTGTTATGTTAGAAGTGTTGGTTTAACACTACTACTAAGTGATTAAATCATCATTTTGATTTAAAGCTTATAAATTAGGTACTTATGCACATGTCAAATTTATAACATTATGTGTTATATTGTGGATATGTTACAAACATTGAATTATTTGATGAGATACATATATACTTTTCAGTCACTTAATCTTAAATATCTGAATTGTGTACCGAGACTAAATTCCAAGGCTTTACTCACACTGTGGTGGTAGCATGGAAAAGTCATCATTCTTGAATACTCTGTCTAGGAAGATGGTTTTTAAGTAAACTTTGGTTTCACCACTCGACCTGGGAGTTTTAAGAAGTAGGGTGTTGATCATGCAGGCTAGTTAGAGCGCCACTTGATCTTCACCTGAAATGATATTGACTTTCATATGTTGTTAAACAATCAAAGCCTTGCAATAGAAATGGTTGAATTACTGCAATAGTAATATTGATCTGCATCATATGAATGCTTTATATGAATTTTTAATTTCTTCAAGTGAAGGTAAAATTGTGCAAGTGACAACTCTGAAGTCTCATTGTTGAGAGATATTTCCTAATAGATATGAGCTAGAACATATTCTTGGTGTATGAGATTAATTTCTTATAAAAATATGATGTGAAATTTGTGAGTAGGTTGTTCAACTTGATGTAGCATGTGAACAACATTATTTCTATGGCTTACTAACAATGAGCATTTATATATATATTATTTAAATTCTTGGTTGAGTCATATTAAAATACCTATAATTCCTAGTTAAAGGGTAATCATGATGAGTTGAGATAACCAAGTTTGTTGAGTTATATTCAACTGTTGAGTATGTATCAGGTAAAGTACAGAGCGACTATAATGCTCCACAGAGGAAATTAGCAAAACTCAGTCTACAAAGGGGCTAATATTAGAGCACCAAAGATTAATCTGGGTAAGAGATCAAATACCTTTGACAAAAATATTTGTAAGTGTTGCATTGTGGGGGGTAATTAACTCCTTATATTTTCATCAAAAGCTTCTCTGTGGTATTGAGAATAATGACGAAAGAGAATTTTTTATGTTAAGCATGAAAATCTCAAGGGATTATTTACGAGTAAACGAAGTACTCATCAAAGTGCATGTAAGTTTGATCAAGAGAATCAACTTACTTGAGGGCTAATTATGAGGATTAGTCACTGAATCATTGAAAGGACTTAAAGTCCAAGTGGTAATGAATTCGTGGTGGGTCCCACTTATGTGGTCAAACAAAGCCATGAAAAGAGTTACAAAATAGTACACTAGTTGGTTATTCCTACGATGTGTGTACTTGTGAGGTTGAGCCACAACTCTTAATGAATTCATAACTCTTTGAGAAGTGTGGTTTTGTTGAGACAAACCTGATGAATTCACCGCATAATGACATGAGTACAAATTGTTCTTGGTGACTTATACTCAATTAGGGTGGTCTATGTTGAGGTAGACCTAAAGAGATCCCTGGTTTGAGTGGAAAAGGGCTAACCGCCTCTTATGAAAGATAATAGGGTTATCCCAAGAAGCTGAGTGGCTAAGAAACATGATGATAACCGTGCAGTTGTGGGGGTGTCCAACACCTTCACCACATTGTGATTCACAAACTATCATTTGCATTGCAAAGAACAATGCCTATGATAGAAAGAAAAGGCTTAGAACTGATTTATGTCTTTAACTACTCTATAAGCCTTTAAAGGTGGTCTATACTGAGATAGACTTGGTAGAGTTAAAAGTCTATATTGAGATGGACTTGACAAGACATAAAAATCTACAATGCGATAAGACTTGTCAGAGTTAAAAGTCTATGTTGAGATAGACCTTGACAGGGTGGAGGTCTATATTAAGATAGACATAACAGACTTGAATACTAAGGGTATTCATAAGAAGTCAAAGAGTTTGACTTTCGTCGAACCTGCTTTTTGAGTTGGTGTGTGCATTAGAGTTCAAAATTTATCTAACCGGTGAGTTCAAGATTCATATCACTCTCGGAAAGAAAATTACTCAGTGTCACTACGTGTCAGTTCAAGTTCACAAACACTGACTTTAAGATCAACTCATTTGTATTGCTCGGACATCTTTTTTCCATTCCCTTGCATTTGTGGGGGATTGTTGGGAAAAATGCAAGTCACTCATTAATTATGTGGTGATTTAACCTTGACCACAAATAATTATGTGGTGATTTAACCTTTACCACAAATTAATGAGTGGTTAAGATCCTTTAAATAATATGAGGCCTAAATTACTTGGCCTCTATTATTTAAACAGGGTCTGCCTTTGAGTTTAAACACACACAGGAAAACATTTCCTTTATCTCTTCTTTCTATGTCTGCTAGTTAAAGTCTGAGCAATAGTGAGGTTCAGCTATGTTTAAGCTGGTGCGAGTTTAGCGTGGTTATTCTGTGTAGCCTGTCGAAAGCGTACCGGTTTGTCGACTGCACCGTCACCGGGCAAATAACGCTTTTAAGGTAGTGTTATTATAACACGGCAGCCATACATCCATTGTGTCCGTGTTTCTTAATAGGTGCCCAGCTTGCGCGTTGACGTTGCAAATATTTTCCCAACAAAAGTTTCCTTGAAGAAGAAGTCTATGTCCTCATCTAGTTTGTCACACATGACTGGGCGACTAACAACTTGATATCCGATAGCTTAGTTCCTCGATCAACCCTTCACATGCTGTTTGGAGGAGGCAAAGCACTCTGCACCAAGCGCCGAAGGAGGAGCTTCCAGATGTTTGGTAGCAAGTTTGTACTGTACTCCTTCCTGTGGACATCTTACCACTTAGCCTAGAACCTTTCACTGATCACCAGTCGGTCCAACTGACTCCTCTACCGTAGCTTCCTGGAATCGAAGCTCTTAGGTTGCTCTTGTAGTTTGTTTTTGTTTTTGTTGGTAAACAATTGTCTCTTTGTTGGATTTGGTTCATTCCTTTGTCGGTCGTAACATATGTTTTTTTGCTAAGTATCTTTGCACTTCATCATATGTGATATGTATGCTATTTTTCCTCTTTGTGAGTGATCCGACCGACCTGGCCACCCAATAGGAATGCCTTCGAACCTTAATGCTTATCTCGCAAAACATATGACAACTTGGTTACCAAAATCAAGTTTAAGGGTTAAGTAACGTAATCGAAGAGGCCGGGATTACTCAACTGAGCAACACTTTACAAGTAGGATCGGGATCACTCAACCACGTAAAACCTTACAAGTAGGGGCGTGACCACTCAACCAAGCAAAACCTTACAAAGGACATCTCTATCACAAAATTATTTTATGGCAAGAAACAGTTAAGAACAAAGTCTCATCGTAGGATTCATCGTAAATTCAAGTACTACAAAGTTTAGCCTATAAACATGGAGGAAAAAAATAATAAAAGAAATCAAATAATAAATGATAAAAGAAGTGAAGAACATAGAAAACCCCTTTAATCCACGAAGAAATATTGATTCCAAACCTTTTCGAGATGTAAAGTTACCTTTTCAAGAGTGGTTGAAGCCCACAAAAGTGCATTGGATCATTTCCGTGAATTCTTTGGTGGAATTAAACATCTCCAAAATGGTTCAAAATCCCACTTAAATAATGTTTGTGAACATCGACATGCACCGACACAATTGTGTCAAAATCTACTGCGCCAGGCGACACAGCCTTGACACGACCGTGTCCTTAGGCGTGTCAATTTTTGCCTGGGTTTTTTTTTTTCTCTATTTTTAGTATGAATCTCTCAAAACTTTGCATGTAAGTTTTAAAGAATTATCTTAGCTTTCCATGCATACCTAAATGAACTCATTAGACTTTGTATGAAAGAGATATGACCAAAATAGTATCAACATGTTGCAAGGTTGTGTTCCTGGGCGTGTCTAAATGTGTCCACCTTTTTCACCCTGATTTCTCCCGAATATCTTAACACTCCTAACATATAAGTTCTAAGAGATTATTTTATTTTTCCATGGACACTTGAATCACCTCAATTGAAATTCATATGAGAGAGATATGACAAAAGTACTCTCAGCACGTCACAAATTGAATATTTTGCCATTTTTGCTAAGAAATTCCTTTAAATCAAATACTAATAAATTGAGCACCATAGTCCATCAAAACAAGAAAGATATAAGAAAAATCATTATAAATATGATATTGGAAATAAGTGAAATTAAGCACTTACCCGATAACAGAGGAGAAGATGTGTGATGATGGGTAAATACTAGAATCTCTATCGGTTGCCTCACACAATTATTGACTAAACTACTACAAACTTTGAGATAATTTTTATAGACCAATGATTTGGAATAATTACAAATGGACCCGGAGCGGAATAATATAGAGAGGCCCAAGCCCAAAGCACCGGACCCGGGCCCAAGCCGAGATCCATCGAGGTATGGACGGGGTCCATCGAGGCATGACTGAGGTCTAACGAGGCCATGGCCGAGGTCCATCAAGGTAGACCATGGCTGAGGTCCATCGAGGCAAACCATGGCCGAGGTCCATCAAAGAAGACCATTGTCGAGGTCGGCTATAGTGGGGTCGACCACCCCGGGGCCGACTACCCCGAGGTCGGCCACTTGGCCAAGCTCCGTGCTCGACCAAGGGGTGCGGTCTCCATGTTGTCCGAGTCTCGTGGCATTTGTTGCAGTCCAAGGGAGTTGAGGAGACATCCACCAATTTCTCTAGGGTTGTTGGGGGCGATATGGGGTATAAAAACCCTCATTTGTGTCTTGTTTAGGTGTGTCTTGTTTAGGTATCTCTTACCTTTCGTCTAGACCTGTCTTGTTATTACATGATTCTTGTCTTTGTAATAGCATTTTATACACGATTAATACAATATTCGTCCCCGTGACGTATATTCGTACATATTTCGTCCTGTTGTTGCATTCTTTATTCGTTTAATCCTATACTTGTCACATTCATTCATATATTTCGGTTAATTAATTCGGACCCCCAGGTTAATATAATCCATCATTGGTGCTCTTGTTGAGAGTTGAGGTACAAGTTCGAGCGCGCTCTCTACTCTTTATCCATAGCTATGACGAGATCAAGATCAAACACCCATAACTCCCATGATTCGCTGTAACACCCCCGATTTTCAAGACATTTTAAGCTTATATAATAAAGGTAATATCTCATTACATCCCAAAGTATATCATAAGTGTACGGGGTGCTATGCCACACCTGGGCTAGAGAACCCAGGTGCACAGGCTGTCTAACTAATATCCATTGAACACAATGCATAACATGGCATGCAGGCCGAAAGGGAAACTACTCTACTTCTACGCTCCAGTTCTAGCGCGCTCCAGTGCTCTAGTCCTCTGTGCCTGAAAGCCAAATATATCTGTTCAGCGAGAGATGCTGGTAACCCACTCCAACGCGTTGAAATACAATACATATAGAGATATATATAGATATACGAAAACCATTATGAGCATGAAGATATATCCTACGAACTCTAGCTTTAAAACCGGGAATGACTCAACAGATAAGGCCAGACACAAGCAACAGTTATAACGAGCATATGCAGTTCACAATAGATAAGGCAGATAAGGCAAGGCATAAACAATAATCATAACCCAACATGAACAATCCCCAATATAAGTCCCATAGTCACATCCCCCAAGACACTCATAATCACAACTCATCCATATCACAACACATAACACACTTTGTTGGCGCCACAGGACCAATCGCATGCCCATACATGAGGGTCAGCGCATATAGCTCTGACACGGCCCCGCAGCACCTTGCCCCGTATCGCAACACGGAGGGGTCGATCGCAACCGACCGATGAACCGCAGCTCATCATAGTGTTTGATCGCAACCAAACAGTGGACCGCAGCCCAAGAGAATGTCATCTGACCGCAGCCAAGAAAAAGGACGAACCGCAGCTCGTATAGAAACGTTTGATCGCAACCAAACGGTGGACCGCAGCCCAAGAGTATCAATCTGACCGCAGCCAGCTTCTGAACCGCAGCTCAGGATAACCAATCCGATCGCAACCGAATTGGGGTAACACACACATAACACATAGCAAGCACATGCAACCCACATTACACATTAGGAAGGGGGAGAGAACGTATAACAAAACCTATGCGTGATCCATCACTTAATAAGAATAGTCCTAAGGGGTTCATACTTCTTCCACCTAGGTCAACGGGATACCAATTCAACTAGCATGCAATATAATAGACCCATAAACCTACGAATGGTACCCGAAACATCAAACTAGACATAGGCACGATAAACGGAGTCCGTTGGGACACCACGGGGAACGGGGGACGTCAAACGGGGAAGCCGGGGTCCCGGGTGGGACGACTTTCCAGCGGGTAGCCGGTGGGTGGTGGGCCACCCGCCGGCTGCCCGCCGGTTTCTACTGTTCCGGGCAGCGGGTCGCCGGCGGGCTATGAAAATGGGGAAACCCATGGGATCATCACATCAATCATCAACAATAATTATCACAAGTCATTAATACACAATAATATGGGGAAACCCTAAGGGGGAAATCATAGCTATGAAAATAGGTTTTGTTGAGACATGGGTTACCTCTTAGCCTTAATTAGTTCCTTGGCTATGAAGGGTCTTTCTTTAAGCTTTCTTGCTTTCTTGCTTTCTTCTAGGGAAATTCTTGGAGCTCTCCTGGGGAGGTGGGGCGTTTAGGCGTGTGGGAAGTTCTAGGTGTCTCCTAAGTCCCTTATTTATATATTTAGGAGTCCTAATTAGGAACTAATATTATAGGATTGCTAATTCTATTCCTTTCGGAACTAAGGATTAGGTTTAGGGGTTGGGTTTATATATGAGGGCCCATGGACTATGGTGGGCCTTTTTCCCTAATTAATCATTATGATTTATTCCTTCTCTTGGGCTTATTGATTGATTAATTAAATGGTTTTAGGGGCCGTAACATGGGGTGTTACATTCGCGTAACCCCTCCCACGGTTACAATCCCAATGGAGCAACGACGAGTCGAAAAACCTTGCCCGTGGGGTCGGCGGGGGGACCATAGGGATCGAATAAACGGGAACCGACAAGGGTCAGCAGAGGACCTCAGGGATTGGATCAACAACAACAACCATCAAGGCGGGTCGGTACCACCGATTCCACCTTAGATCCCGGGCCTCCAAGTAGGGGAAACCAAGCTTCAACATGCTATAACTGTACTGAACCGCATCGCGGACGGGCTCCGGGGGGGTACCCTAGCACCTCCGCCCCCACCCCTCCGAGGGGACGCGATGGTCCAAGCGCTCACGTGCCCCGAGCACCTGAGGCGCTGGTAGACGAAGAGGTCAACTCACCTCGGCCGTCGAAGAGGCGAGAGGGTGATGAAGCCAGGAGAGGTTGACGTGACCACCGAGAGAGACGAGGGGCTCGGCCAACCCGGACCACGTCCGCCCTAGGACGATTGGGCCCTCAAGTACCGAGGCGGACCACGAACAGCTAGCCCGCTGAGTCTTCGCTT